TTTTGCATAATCCTGCAAGCAGACAAATGGCAATGAATACATAATCTAATTTCGACTTATCCCTCTTTTGTCTTGGCTCTGCCACAATTAGCTGTTTATTAATAATGCCCACAATTTATTCCTCTGCAAAGGAAAGTACATAAACATGGACACTGTTAGTGTAAACTGTAAATCCTCGAATAAGCACTGTGGTGGTTATAACATTTTTGGAGGCTTCAGTGCGCTACTTATTCAAGAGTGGTGATTAATCAAAAGCGGTGCTTGTTAAAAATTTATTGACATTGTGATTTCCATGCGTTCTATCTAACCTATTCCTGTAGTTCAGTAGACTATCACAGGTCGTACATCATCGTAAATAAACATTTATAAAGATATGCTTGTGTCTTCATCGTTTTCTTTATTCACTGTATACATTGAATTTAAAACCTTGTTTATCAAAGTGTTTCATTACACATGATCTAAGAACCACAGTGCTTATTCAAAATAGAATAATCTCAGGCGCTTAGCGAAAAAAACCATATTTGGTGCGGCACTTATTGAATGATTTAGTGAAGATGTAGCTGTTTGCCTCTGATTCCCAGGGTCATGGTTAAAATCTTGTCACAACAGATTTTTTAAGAACCACAGTGCTTATTCAAAATAGAATAATCTCAGGCGCTTAGCGAAAAAAACCATATTTGGTGCGGCACTTATTGAATGATTTAGTGAAGATGTAGCTGTTTGCCTCTGATTCCCAGGGTCATGGTTAAAATCTTGTCACAACAGATTTTTTTCTCATGACCAAAAACAACAACCTTATTTGATTCTGTAAATCCTGAGTCACTTGATATTGTACAAATAAAAAAAAATAAAAATAAAATATATTTAACCTTTTTTTACAGTAACTCGGAAGCTACAGATAAGTGCAAGAAAGTATTTGTTGCCCTGATTCACTTCTGTATCACTGAATTGTGTGAAATAGCTGACTCGCTGATTTCACCTGTACGCATTGGAGTCGCGAGGCCAACAGCGCCATTCCCGCTGTTTAGCTCCCATGATGAAGCAATGCAGGTATAGTATAATTATTATTAATGATGATAAATTATTAATATTAATAATATGACTTGGACAGTATATAGAACTGTCCCCTTAATAAGGGTGTCCAAAAGGAGGGGTTCTACTGTATTTGCGCTTAGTCAAACAGGTAAATACCAATTCTGCTAAAATTCAATATTTATTCTTTTGAATTATAGGGTAGTGAAGAATTGTTTGCTACGGCGCCTCTTCCTCCAAGGCCCACCTCACCAGCATTGAGGTCTGAGAGTTCAGGAATGAGGATGGCTTCATCAAGACGTCAGAGGCAATCGGAATCAAGCAGAGCTGTTGATGACGATGATGACCAGATGGTTGCAATAGCAGATGTGGAAGAAGTTGATGTGGTGATGGGAGATGCCAACGAGGTTCGAGGAGGAGATGTGGATCACCGTGGTGACCACCAAGATCAGCAGGATGAGCAGCATGAAGATGACGGTAAAAATTTGAAAATTATCATCTGTAGGATTCAAACCCAAGACTACATTAACATCACTTCCGCCAATTATTTAAAATAGAAAGAGTCCATAATAACAAATGCTACCAATAAGAATACATATACTAATGATTAAACTGAATTCATATTGAATGGTACATTTTTTTAATTTTTAAAACTATATAATTTTGTGCCTTTTTGCCAGAAATAGGTGGTGAAAATAGTGATATGGATCTAGACTTGCTAGCTGAAAGTGATAGCGACAGTGAGAGTAACCATAGCAACCAAGATCAGGATAATGTGAGCAATGACCAGGATAACACTAGTGGACGTCGAAGCACAGTACCAGCTGCAATGGTTGGATCAGATGCAGGTGAGATATTAAAATCAACTCAAATGTGTTTTTTTTAATCTCTAAGGAACTCTAATACCATTCCATTTTGATAATCATATTAAGGTGAGGACTTAACCATATTTTAAGGTAGTATAATACATACTCCAAGTATCGAAATGCATGCAAACCATATTGTTTCCTCAAACAAAATGTATGCTTGTGTCTACTGCATAAGAAGTAGACACAAAAATGTTCCACATAGATAATTGTTAAGGTTCTAAAATTGCATTTTAAAAAGACTAATCCACTTTTTTTCAGGAGCTGGATCAGTTGCAGCATTTTTCTCTGAGGAAGACTCTTCTTCTAATCAAGATGACGGAGAGGAGAGCGAGAATGAGATGGAAGAGGAGGAGACAGAAGAACCAGCATTCCTTGATGTTCAACTTGAGCGACCACCATCAAGTCGTACAGGAGAACGACGCCCTCAAATACCGCACCCGATGCAATGGGCTTACCGTGCCCCTCAGCCTTGTAATACCCCATCAAATGCTACCACTGCCTCTTTAAGTAAGTTGTCATTTACCTAATTTATTATCAGTGGTTGACACCAGCCAACCCACCCATCCCCCCCAACCCCAAATGTTTCACAATTTTAAAGAAATTAAGAAAAAAAAGAAATTTATGCTTAAATTTTTGAGTCTGAGAGTGCAGTTCGGGCAATTAGAGGTGCCATAATCATAAATTTTCATACCTGAGCCCCAACCGTGGGTGGGGTTGAGGTGTTATAGACCCTCCATCTGTGAAAGTCTCTGGGCCCCCTCTATATCAAATTCTTGGATTTTGTACTAATACTAGTTGTAGCACATATATTACAATTTTGCTACAACTAATATCAGCTTTTAAAGGGAACTAAGAATAATTGTAAAGAAGACTACAAATTCAACGATGATCCATCTAATAGTATATACACTACTTGTTTTTCCTTTCTACATAAATATTTGGTCAAACAATGGATCATATCAGACCAAACCAATTTAAGATGAAGGCCCTTTGTAAAAAATGCGTTATAGGTACACTATTGAAATTTTATGTACAATCTCCAAATTTAAATTATTCTGCATACTGTACTTTCAATTCTTAGCTGATTGATCAATTAAGTCACCTTTGATAGGCATTAAAATCGTACTATAACCCCTTAACCTCTGTGTTTAAAAATCAGTATTTTTAACACCTTAGTCACATTTACCGGGAAACGAAAGTCAAAAGGTTATGTTAGCCCGATAAATGAGAAGAAGTTATAAATCAGTATTCTTAACACCTTGAGCTAGCAAGGAAAAATCCTAAGCAATTTTCTACAAGTACCTTTATTGTATATAACCTATATTTCTAGGCTCAAGGGGTTTGATATACATCGACCCAGTCATCAGGAGGAATGCTGCATTG